TTCCCTCAATATACTATCTTGCATATTTTAAGATGTCAAATTTTATTCCTCTTAAAATAAGTATGTACATTTAATGTATTTTTTCTTCTCTGTTTCCAAGTTGTCAGTCAGTGGAGCCATTTTCAGTCAAATGACTTAGAATTTGCAAAAATATCCCTAAATACTAATATCTGTAATTCTTTCTGATAGAATATTACAGAACCAATTATTGATTGATGCTATTGGCTCAATATAGGAGCTATTGCTACCTATTCTTGGTAGTAGGGATGTATGTGGTGTTCCCCAACCCGTATCAGTGATCTTTGGACAAGGCTAACCCAACAATGTGGTAATAACCTGTTTCCATTTTTTCCCCCTTAATTACCAGAATTATATTTTCTTTAAAAATTATGTTAGTTTCCCCATGTGGTGAATACCTTGTATAGCTCCAGTGGTGAGCAAATGAGATACTGGTTTACAATTTAATCATTTTATATTTTAAATGAGTGGTGCTTGCAGTTGATAGTATCTGGGTAAACTGGTGCTAGACTAACCAAGACAGATGTTTGTGGTGAAGTACTTGCAAATAACATTAGAAATCATCTATTTCAGTTTAGAAATAAAACACAAGGTACAGAAATTTTGCTGGTTGATTTTATTTTTAAGCACAAAAGCAAGAATTCCAACTACATTATGAATAGATTTTATTCTTGGTCACAGTTTGACGTATTGTTATTTAAATTGTAATGTAAACCTATATTAAACTTTTATATCAGTTTTTCTTTTTATCCACACAGTTAAGAGTTTGAGGCAGATGTCTGTCATCAATTGGTAGTTCATAAAAACGGCTTCTTTGGTTCTCTTAATTTTTGTTTTGAGACAGAGTCTTACCCTGTGATCCATGCTGGAGTGCAGTGGTGCGATCTTGACATACGACCTCCACCTCTTAGGTTCAAGCGATTCTTGTCCCTCAGCCCCCTCAGTACCTGAGATTACAGGAGTGTGCCACCACACCTGGCTAAGTTTTTGTATTTTTAGTAGACACTGGGTTTCACCATGTTGGTCAGGCCTGTCTCCATCTCCTGGCCTCAAATGAGCAGCCCACCTTAGCCTCCCAAAGTGCTGGGATTACAGGTGTGAGCCACCCTGTCTGGCAAAATCTGTTGACATTTTTAAGATGAGAACCAGCTGTGGTCCATTAAGTAAGTCCATGCACCAAATGATAGCTTTATTAATAGATTAACTTCTAATTTTTTCTACTCTGGTATAGTGTTGACATGTCTTATTAGTCAGGTTTTTGAGGCTCAGGAAATGTCACTGTGTTGCAGCTAATGTCTTACGGTCAGAATTTCGATTTAAGAATCTTCCCTTTGAAAACCTTTTCTTAGTACGTGTCTTGTAATGCTTTTACATTTGGAGATTGGGGTAGACATTCTTTGTCTTTTTTTTTTGTGGTAGGGGAGATAAAAGCTTTTACTCTGTCTCCCAGGCTGGAGCACAGTGGCTCTCTGCAACCCCCGCTGCTTCCTTCCTCTGTTCAAGCCTCCTGAGTAGCTGAGATTACAGGTGTGCCACTGCATCCAGCTGGTGTGTTTTGTCTTTTTTTTTTCTTTTCTTTTTTTTAAAAGACGGAGTCTTGCTCTGTCACTGAGGCTGGAGTGCAATGACATGATCTCAGCTTACTGCAACCTCTGCCTTCTGGGTTCAAGCAGTTCTCCTGCCTGAGCCCTCCTGAGTAGCTGGAATTACAGGTGTGTGCCAGCATGCCCAGCTAATTTTGGTATTTTTAGTAGAGATGGGATTTCACCATGTTCTTCAGGCGTTTCTTGAACTCCTGGCCTCATGATCTGCCTGCCTCCACCTCCCAAAATGTTGGGGTTACAGGCATGAGTTTCCATGCCTGGCTGGTGTGTTTTGTCTTTTTTGTTTTGTTTTGTTTTTTGAGGTGGAGTTCGCTCTGTTGCTCAGGCTGGAGTGCATTGGCCAGATCTCAGCTCACTGGAAGCTCCGCCAGTCTCCCAAGTAGCTGGGACTACAGGCGCCCGCCACCTCGCCCGGCTAGTTTTTTTGTATTTTTTAGTGGAGACGGGGTTTCACAGTGTTAGCCAGGATGGTCTCGATCTCCTGACCTCGTGATCCGCCCATCTCGGCCTCCCAAAGTGCTGGGATTACAGGCTTGAGCCACCGCGCCCGGCTGTGTTTTGTCTTAATCTGTTCAGGTAATTAATGTCTCTAGAGTGTTTTAATTTCTTTCAAGAGGTAGTTAATTACTTTTAATCTGACTTGATTTTATGCCAACACTTAACCATCGAGTTTGATTATGGGTACAGTTATAATTCTCCTAGAGATAATTCTTTTTCCCCTGGTAAAAGATTTTAAACAGCCTAGGCTTAATCAGTAAATAATCAGCAGCTATTGTTGCCTATTGTATAGCTTTCTCAGTGAGAATTTCTAGTTAATTTTTAGCTGGTGCTTGAAGTAGTCATACTGAGCTTCTTAATATATATCCCTTTTAACTTAAAGGTTGTCACAACTATGTATGTTTTTTTTCTATTTTCACACTTATCCTCAACATTTTTCGAGGCAAGGACTACTTCCTCAAATGTGAATGAGAGTCCATTTCTGCCTGAGCAGCATTCTGTGTAACTAAAAGTCCTTTAAGCCCTACTGGCTGAAATAGTGTGAAATATTTTTCTTCAGAAAAGTAGAGAATTTGACTCCTGATTGTGTTCATGGGACTGTTACATAGATTCAAAACAAAATTGTATTACTTGCTTCATTTTGGTTATGGTCAGATGAAATAGTAGGTTTTAAAAGGAAATTCCAGTGACAGTAGGGAACTAGGTAGCTAGCTCGTTGGTTTAGATGCAGGTGCCGGTGAAGGTTAGTGGCTTAGGAGGTAGATTAGATATATCCATTGGACTGGGGCTTAAGCTCAGTTTAATGCTCATGGATACGGATAACTCATTTTGATTTACCTCCAGAAATTGTTATTACGCAATTTGTGCAAGTGTTATCTCACACAAAGGGTATCAGTTTCTGAACACTGATATTTTATAGTTTCTGTATCAAACTTTGAAATATTTTGGTCAAAAAGAGCAAAAGTTTGACAAAATGGGAAAGTAGTGATAATAAAAAGTTAGTTTTTTTTTTTTTTTTTGCGTTAATTCCCATGAATGGATTAAACTAACAGATTAACCATACTTAGGGGAAATGCCAACTTTTTTTTCTTTTTCTTTTGAGACAGTGTTGCTCTGTTCCCCAGGTTCAAGTGCCGTGGTGCAGTCATGGTATTCTCTCACCTCCTGGGCTCAACCAGTCTTCCCACCTCAGCTTTCCTTGCTCTTTTTTAATTTAGGAAAATGTTCCTGTCCATAGCCACTCTTGGGACAAGATTAAACATTACTTTGTTGATCTAGCGTGGAAAACACTTTAGGTTAACAGGGGAGAGAATTAGCAATGAGATCTTGTAAATGTTTTTACTACAGGAAGATTGGAGATACTACAACTCAGAATAACTTGCCACCATTGTATATGTATAAGAGGGAGTATCATGACAAAGATGATTCATAAAATTTTTAAAGTTCTTGATTACATCACATTTATTTTTTAAGAAATCTTTGGAGTTAGGCAGAGCAGTTGGTAGGTGTATTTTTATAGAGTACCTGGGCCTTTGCATTAAGTTAGTTGCATTTTTAAAAACCTTGTAGAATTAAAGGACTTTTTCATATGTTGCCACAATGGAAATGACAATGTGGAATGTATAAAGTTTAGAACTGATGTCCATGTAAGAAGTATTTGTTCTGTTTTGAATTTTCTCTTTACAAATGTAAGTGTACCAAGCTACTGCTTTGGAGTATCTTTATCAATCACTGGGATACTAAATTTATTATTATAAGACATTTGAAATTAAGATTTCTTTTTTTTTTTTTTTTTTCCCGAGACGTAGTCTCGCTCTGTTACCCAGGCTGGAGTGCAGTGGCCGGATCTCAGCTCACTGCAAGTTCCGCCCCCTGGGTTCACGCTATTCTCCTGCCTCAGCCTCCTGAGTAGCTGGGACTACAGGTGCCCGCCACCTCGCCCGGCTAGTTTTTTGTATTTTTTAGTAGAGATGGGGTTTCACTGTGTTAGCCAGGATGGTCTCGATCTCCTGACCTCGTGATCCGCCCATCTCGGCCTCCCAAAGTGCTGGGATTACAGGCTGGAGCCACCGCACCTGGCCTGGAATTAAGATTTCTAATAGAAACATCAGTTAGTTGAGCAACCAGTATTTATTTGAGTGCTAAGTGTGTACTGGCCAGTGAATTTAGACACAGGTAAATAGTGAACAAGATAGACAGTGGTCTCTGCCCTGTTGGAATTAAGTGTAAATTTAGTTAGAAATAATACTACCTGTTTTTATATGAGATATTTTATATCAGTAGTATTTATACCCAGCCAACACATTTTGCTATGATTCCCAGTTACATGAAATTGCCCTGATTTTATAGATCTGAAATTTTATGTGGTTCAACCTTTTATCACTAGTTGTAATAATTTTTGTGCTTCTGTGGGTGAAAAGAATCAGATTTCGCTAATGCTAAATACCACTGTTTACATACCCTTTTAATTGGAACCTTTTTAAGAGTATTTGAATTGTTTTTTGTAATGTATATATGAAAAGAATAAGATCCAAACAAAGGCTATTCATTATAATAAATGCCCTGTTAATACTTCCACTAGTACAGAGAAACCATTTATATCCAGTGCTAAAGGCCAGCCAACCATATAATTTGATATGTATGATTTTCGTAAGGAAAAGTTGCTGCAATATTAAAACTATTTTATATGCCTAGGTAAAGAAATAATAGGATAAGATTTCTAAACCCCACTATGGAGATTTTTGCTGGCCTTCTTAATGAAATTTAATAAAAAGAAATGACTGAGAGACAATATTCGTTTATTATTTATCATAAGGTATGTTGAATTGTGCTGAGATAATGTTAGGTTTGAATGAATTCCATTTTCCGTTTATCCAATAGGATGTACAGTTACCCAGCACGTGTACCTCCTCCTCCTCCTATTGCTCGGGCTGTAGTGCCCTCGAAACGTCAGCGTGTATCAGGAAACACCTCACGAAGGGGCAAAAGTGGCTTCAATTCTAAGAGTGGACAGCGGGGATCTTCCAAGTCTGGAAAGTGTATGTATTATTTCATTTTGTGATTTTGGTATCTCTTGTGTTTTGAAATAGAGAAGCTAATGCAGTTAAAATATTGTTGTGCCACATGACTTTGTGTATTCAAAATAATGGAAGAGGCCAGCTGTGTGGTGGCTCATGCCTGTAATCCCACCACTTTGGGAGGCCCAGCAGGCGGATCACCTGAGGTCGGGAGTTCGAGACCAGCCTGTCCAACATGGAGGAACCCCATCTCTACTGAAAATACAAAAAATTAGCCAGGGATGGAGGTGCATGCATATTATCCTAGCTAATTGGGAGGCTGAGGCAGGAGAATCGCTTTTACCCAGGAGGCAGAGGTTGCAGTGAGCCGAGATTGTGCCATTGCATTCCAGCCTGGGTGATAAGAGCGAACTCCATCTCAAGAAAAATAATTTTAAAAATCCAAAATAATGGAGGAGACGAGATTGTGACTGAGTGGCCAATTCTAGACTGCAACAGCTAGGTGATTTGAAAGATGTCATTTGACTTTATTTAGTTGAGGTGTGTGTTAAGTTTCTGAGGGTTTTTTTGTGGGTTATTTAAAAACTAAAATTCAGATAGTGTTCAATATATTGATTTTTAAACTTTTCTGTATTGAACTCCTGTAACTGGAAATATGGAAGGCAGTAAAACAACAGAAGGTCTGATGCAGTGACTTACGCCTGTAGCCCCAGATGCTTAGGGGGAGGCTAAGACCCTGGGGATCTAGGCTGTGGTGGGAGGATTGCATGAGGCCCGGAGTTCACTGTGATCATACCTGTGAATAGTCACTGCACTCAGAACTGGGCAATGTAGCGAAAACCCAAGTCTAAAAGATACTTTAAAAAAAAAAATTACAGTAAGTAATTATAAGCTTTATAGTAGAACCAAGGGCCTTTATTACAGGGAAATCTGTACTGGCTCTGTTTCTCCCTGGGTGCTCCTGATGTAGTCTAGTGCCAGTGTATTTGCTAACTCATATCTTCTGTACATTTGATTTTAATCCATTATTTTGTTTATGTTAAAGTGAAAGGAGACGACCTTCAGGCCATTAAGAAGGAGCTGACCCAGATAAAACAAAAAGTGGATTCTCTCCTGGAAAACCTGGAAAAAATTGAAAAGGAACAGAGCAAACAAGCAGGTAAATGGGTTTTCTGCTTGTTGGGTATATAGTTGGGTTAGTTACGTAAGGCACTTGAAAGTGTATGTTGGAATAGTGGAATATAAAGCAATGTAATATGAAACTTGGGGAGTGTGAATTGGGAAGGCTATTTGTGTGGGAGGATTTAGATTTGTGCTGCAGTTCTGTGATCCTTAGTGGGGATTGTCTACATCCTGTGGACATTACTGCCCCTAGACAGACTTGTCCTTCTCATCCCCAGTAGAGATGAAGAACGATAAGTCAGAAGAGGAGCAGAGCAGCAGCTCCGTGAAGAAAGATGAGACTAATGTGAAGATGGAGTCTGAGGGGGGTGCAGATGACTCTGCTGAGGAGGGGGACCTACTGGATGATGATGATAATGAAGATCGGGGGGATGACCAGGTGAAAACCACGGGAAAGGAAAGAAAAAGGTGGTGGAGGGGGGCTCAGGGACACATGGAGTGCCTCTAACTCCATCCTATTTGTGTCTGTTTCTCACAGCTGGAGTTGATCAAGGATGATGAAAAAGAGGCTGAGGAAGGAGAGGATGACAGAGACAGCGCCAATGGCGAGGATGACTCTTAAGCACATAGTGGGGTTTAGAAATCTTATCCCATTATTTCTTTACCTAGGCGCTTGTCTAAGATCAAATTTTTCACCAGATCCTCTCCCCTAGTATCTTCAGCACATGCTCACTGTTCTCCCCATCCTTGTCCTTCCCATGTTCATTAATTCATATTGCCCCGCGCCTAGTCCCATTTTCACTTCCTTTGACGCTCCTAGTAGTTTTGTTAAGTCTTACCCTGTAATTTTTGCTTTTAATTTTGATACCTCTTTATGACTTAACAATAAAAAGGATGTATGGTTTTTATCAACTGTCTCCAAAATAATCTCTTGTTATGCAGGGAGTACAGTTCTTTTCATTCATACATAAGTTCAGTAGTTGCTTCCCTAACTGCAAAGGCAATCTCATTTAGTTGAGTAGCTCCTGAAAGCAGCTTTGAGTTAGAAGTATGTGTGTTACACCCCCACATTAGTGTGCTGTGTGGGGCAGTTCAACACAAATGTAACAATGTATTTTTGTGAATGAGAGTTGGCATGTCAAATGCATCCTCTAGAAAAATAATTAGTGTTATAGTCTTAAGATTTGTTTTCTAAAGTTGATACTGTGGGTTATTTTTGTGAACAGCCTGATGTTTGGGACCTTTTTTCCTCAAAATAAACAAGTCCTTATTAAACCAGGAATTTGGAGAAAAAAAACCCTGGTTTTTTATTTTTGTATTTTATTATTGTTTACTTCAAACTTTGTTTTACAGCGTCCTCCACAAAACCTCTAGAATGTACTAGATACATTTTTCTTGGAGTCATAATCATGATACATACCAACACAACACTACTCAAATTATATTTCATTGAGTTGCATGTTGCATTGAGGAGTCAAATAACTTGACATACAGTGGCGATTGTTTTTCAAAATGGCTTTTACATCCTAATGAAAGTTCAGTGCTTTGTGGTCCAACTGGCACCCTTTTTGAGGTTTTTGTTGTGTGCTAAATTGTTTTGTCCTTAAATAGGAGAGACTCAAAAACAAGATTTCAGGAAAATTGCAACAGCTGGACAATGGAACTCCCCCTGCTTGCTTCTGTTTTGTTCTTTTAATTACTATTTATAGCCTCAGTTACCTTCTGAATTCTGAAGTGTATATCTCCATGTTACTGAAAACGAGAAAACTCTTATTTCCTGATACTCCACAGTCTTGCCTTCCCAGGTGATTGAGAACATAAAGAATGTTACATTTATTTTACCCTAAATGATCTTTTACCGCTATTAGCTGATTTTTGTGTTTTCCCTCAACTTTATTAATTACAGTTATTGTATTTTTAGCATCCAGTCTTACTTAAAATGAATATATTAAACAGCTACCAGTGTTGTGATACCTCATCCTTGAAAGGCTTAGTTGATTTGTGTTTTAAACTTCAGTTTTTCCAGCACAGCAGAAAATGGCGTTTATAATTTTTGTGCACACAAACCTTGGATTCCCCTATAAAGTTGCTGTTGTTTCATAGCATGCAGCACTGGCCTTTTTTCATCCTACTCATTACAGGCAAAACTCATGTCTTATTTATAAGGATTTTATAGATCATTTTCTATATCAGGTGACACAAGCAGAAAAGAATGAAGAGGCTGAACTATGAACTACCCTTGGAGCCCATATACATGATATAGGCAATTTCTTTTGTATGTTAATTCGGTCAAAAATACTACCCACTTGATGTTTTCTGATCTGATGTGAGCTCATGTTACATAGACTTTTAGTAAGTAACCCATGACTAGAAAATAAACTGGATGCTTAGGAGAGAGTGTCAGATGTATAAGATGCTAATAAAACATGTTTAATATTATGTTGTTAGCTGTAAGTTTTTGGGAAATACTGGAAAAATTAGTCCACAATCAAGTGTCTACTTTTCACTTCACTGTAGGGCCTCTTTCCCCGCACAGAGCAGTCTATTTAGCTGTGAATGCCACAATCTGCAGATGCTCAAGTCCCTTACATAAAATGGCATAGTATTTGTATGTAACCTATGCATATTCTCCTGTATACTTTAAATCATCTCTACATTAAAATACCTGATAAAATGTAAATGGTATGTAAATAGTTGTAACTACTTTTATTTGTATTGTTACTTTTTAAAGTTTTTTTCTTTACTAGTATTTTCGATCTATAGTTGGCTGAATCTGCATGTGTAAAACCCACGAACACAGAGGGCCAACTATACATTTAATTCTGTAGGAAAGCAGATATTGAATGAAGCTGTGGAAAGCACTTAATATTAGGTTGGTGCAAAAGTAATTGTGCCTTTTGCCATTACTTTTAATTAGCCGCAGTTACTTTTGCAGATAGCTGTAGAGCATGATCACACATTGAAAATCTACACATACATATGGTAGGGTTATTGTTGGAATACTAACATCTCTAGTTTGTGTTGATGAGGAAGTCGTTTCACATTCTTGGTTTTAGGCTACTGTGGATTAAATTTCCTCATGTGTTTAAGACAACAGTACTCTAGGTTTTCTATAATCAACAGGTGTGCTCATTTAATACTTTGACATTTAGGTTCCTAGGCCAAAACTGTAGCAAAGTAGAGACCGGGATTGAAATACCATATGGTAAAATGCTTTTTGAAATCTGATCCAATGCAGATAAGTACAGACTTTTTGGGAAAGGGGCTAGTGTTTTTAAAGACCATTTATCAGATGATATGCTTTTAGTCGGTGTGACATTACTTAACCCTGGGCCCTGCAAAGTAGGAATTGAGTTGACTCTAGAAATTGAGAATAGTAGGCATGGCGGTGCAGGTAAAGGGGTTAGATTTGACAGTCAGTTAATAATTGAGGGATTTCTGATTTAATAATTGAGGGATTTCAGATTGATAGTCTGATTACACTAGTTGGAAGTAAGATTTAAAAGTAAAAACATTTTAATTTGGGATAAAATTCAGAACACAAGTTTCTTAATATGCCATGAAATCTAAGAAAATGTCCTGCAATCATTCAGGAATGCAGTTTTCATTCAGGGTTAGAAAGCAGGAGAGGAGGTAGATGAATAAAACATCCATAATAACATTTTTTTCTGATGCTGCATAATGTATAATTGGGCAACTCTGGAGCCCTCTGCCTAGGGAACTTAATCATTTGCCATTGTCTCAGTGGGATGAGCTAACTGAAAGTGGTCGGGTGGGAATGGATTCTAAATTTGGGATTCTTAAAAAGAGGGTTCATCTTAGATTTCACTTCTGATGTTAATATTACCCGATCATGCGAGACCTGCAAAGACTGTGTGATGAGTACTTATTATGTGGTTTAAAGTCTCTTTTTCAGAGGGAACGGGGTGTAATAGAAAAGGAAAGTAATGTAAATGGGAACACAAAGGTGGTAAATTGGAAGGAAATGAATGGGTGTCAAATTAGGATTGGGAAGAATGTAATAGTACAATAGACGTAACCATCATTTACGCCATAAGAGAACCTTGAAGTGTCAACATACAAATCCACTATAACTTGGCAGTATGTTTTACTCAAATGTTACAGGAAGCAAAACCCAGTATATAATGTAGAAAATACAGAACAGATGATATACTATATGTAAGTATTAGTGTTTTGAGATAACCTTGATGAAACAATGTGCTTTTGGAAGTAGTTGCAGGATAGAGAAATGGTGTATATTTAATGAGATCAGCTCAGGAACATATGCCTGGCCTGTCAGCATTGACTGACCAATTTTATTTCAGGGGAAAACCAGAAAACACTCATTCCTACTGACAGCTGACCTTTTTATTTATTAGGAGAATTCAGCTACACTGATGTCAAATGGAGTTTCAGTTTCTGGACCCTAGTTCACATCACATTGACCAAGAAAATGCATTTCATAGGAATTTAGAAGCATCCAAGAAAAAGTACCTTGGCCAGAAAACCAGTCGACAGTAGTAAATGTATTATGTAGAAATGATTGACCAGTTTATTGTTACATATAACATGTGGATTATGGTCTGAGTACCTTTAGGAACCTCATTCACACTAGGAAGGGGCACTCTGTTGGAGAATTTTAGTGTTTGAAAAGAACTTGGTATAAAGCAAAAATGTAGCCAATTAAACTGCAGAGTAAAAGAACATAGACGTACCTGACCAGACAAAAGCTTTCCAAATGTTAGGAGACAGGAAGTAAAAGTAGAAAACTGCAGAATTTGTGTTTGCATTAGTGACTTTCAAGTTAAATCTCAATTTTGAAAAGCAGGGCTGCTTTAAAGAGTATTGGAGTTAACGCCCTTTGTCAGTAGAACTACAAAGCATAGAGGAAGAGGGGGAGAACAGTGTAATGGGGTGAATGCAAATGACCGATTAGTAGGAAGGAGTCGAATCCCAAGATAAATGCAGATAGGAAAAGGAAAGCATGTTGGATTGTGTTTTCAAGTGGCACTCAAGTAAAAGTTTGGAGAAACATGCCCCTGAAGCAAATGGTAGAGCCAACTATTTGATCTATAGTCTAACTTCATGGGTTTTGGACCTTGGAAGAGGAAATGGTGTCTTTGAACTATAGTCTGTAGTCATAGAAATTGGATAAACTATTTCCCAAATAGAGGTAACAGACTAAGATCCTAGCAACTTCTAAGTTAACGAAAGGGAAAAAATATCCCCATGCCATTTTTCTCTTCATTCTACTACTGAGGGCTAGAGTCATTCATAGACTGAACAGTTTCAAGAGCATATTGACAAGTTCCTGGCTAACAGCTGAAAGTGCCATTTCATGCAACTTTGTTGGGCTTTAGAAGTGAAGCAGGATATAGAGAAAATACAGTTTCTCCTACCCACAACATGTATCTTAAACCATTTCTTCTGGCCCAGAAGACAAACTTTTCTAAATATCTTGGAAAAACTACTCATGAGTTTCTACTTTTTTTTTTTTTTTTTTTTTGGAGTCTTGCTCTGACACCCAGGCTGGAGTGCAATGGCGCGATCTCAGCTCACTGCAACCCCTGCCTCTCAGGTTCAAGTGATTTTTCTGCCTCAGCCCCCTGAGTAGCACTCAACACCAAGCCTGGTTAGTTTTTTGTGTTTTTAGTAGAGATGGGGTTCCCCCGTGTTGGTCAATCTGGTCTCGAACTCCGCCCATCTCAGCCCCCCAAAGTGCTGGTATTACAGATAGCCACCGTGTCTAGCCAAAGTTTGTACTCAATGCCTACCATGGACTATTACAAGCACCTGGCAGTGACATTGCAGGAGTTCTAAAAAAAGACTTGGTCTTTCCTACAGGGACATTAATGTGAAAGAGGTCCAGTGACAAAGATTCACTTTTGCAGACCCTCACAAACCACAATAATGAAGTTGCAGTGAATTTGGGACATAGCCTTCCCTCCCCAAAATTCTCGATCCAGGAATCCACCTGTCAAGTTCAATGACTCAGACTCCATTTCTAGTGTGGTCGTTGGTTAACAACTTTACTAGTTTCCATCCAGGCTTAACCTTTCTATGGACCATAATGTCTTGGTCTGCTGCAATTATTGTCCTTCCCTGTTTTAAGGATACTAAGTTTTTAAAGAGGCATGAATACTTCAAAGTCCCCGTTGGCCCTCCTGGGGGAAATTACCTCAAACCACAGGGTAGTCTGCTAGAGCCAGCTGCCAGCCCAACTTTGCCCAGATCTACAATATTCTTCAAATTAGTTTCCTTATTCCCCCCAAACTTACCTTTTCCCCAGAACTTTAT